CCAGAATACAGTGGTATTAAATATGTGTAAGAAATGGCTTCCGAACTATAGAACATGAAAAGAACACATAAAGAAGGTGCAGAAAACATCTATTTTTATTCATTTTCATCCATCGTCTGAGGTTTGGTACAGACAAGATATTTGTTCACACCTAATTTCACAGAGGAGTGCTTGGAGTCTAAGTTTGGAGTTTGAAGCAGGAGGAGGGGTCTCAGACCCTGCACTTCTCTGGCTCAATATGGAGTCATTACTGACTTCCTGCACATTCTTCCATAAATTGTAGTGGTTATCCATCAACCTTCAGGTAAGTATGATTTCACTTAGGAGATCATCCCCCAGGCTAATAGGTCATACAAACAGGAATCTGATTTTCACTCATCTGTGCTCTGTAAGGTTTCAATCTCTTAACTGCAGCCCATCATGGCTAATTTTATTGTACTAACTAGTGTCTGTACCTGAGATACTTCAAATAAGCTATATATATATCAACAGAAAGATATCTCCATGGCTCTGAATAACCTTTTCACATGATTTTTTCTTTGCATGCCTCTCTGGGAGAAAGGACACAGCAGAGGTCATTCACCTTACCCTTGGCAGCAATAAACCTCTATAGTCTAAACAGCTGGTCATTTTTTGTGCTCTCTTGTACCAGCTGATGTATTTACACCCTGTTACCTATTTGTCTGCTTAGTTTTTTTCCTTTTCCTGATAAGAAATACTCTCTCTTCCTTGATGGTGGCTGCTTTCTCCCCTCCCTGCTCCCATCCTTACAGAGTCTTTTCTTGAACTCCTTTCAGTGGTGGCCTTGCCAAATGATTTATGTGGAGCTTTCTTCCTGAATCAGTCTCAGTCTCATCCTTTTCTTTAGTGAAGACAGTCTGGCATTCTCCCTCTTCACTCCAAAAGGAATATTATCAATCTCAGTCAGGAACATCATTCAGGGCTAATTCTACAAACTATATACTAAAAATCTCCTGATAACCTTATCCTACATTTGAATATGTATTTTTTAACTGAGTACATCTAATTTTCAGCACTGGGTATGGCTTGTGATATCATGGTTTTGGATGGGTGCTTTTTGGGGATAACACGCTAATCAAGACTGAATGTAATTCAGGTCCCATTAAAGCCCAGTGAAAAATCCCCTGGTAAATTAGGTCATCCTGATCAGCCACTCACTGTTTTTACCTCATTTCATGCCTTCTCCTGTTAAAGATAATCTTTCAAAGTCAAAGAACCTAATAGTCATCAAAGTGTTACCATCAGAATAAGTAAAACTGTGCATGGTTACTTCAGAGTGATCTGATACTTTTTTAGCTTCACCTCTCACCTTTTCTCCACTCCAATCATGACATTAGGTTAGCTGCTGAATGCCCCAGAGTTCTGAATTCATTTAAGTTCAACATATAATGAATATACAGGAAGGGAAAGAGATTTACTCATTAGTCCGATCTGCAGATGACAGGCAGTTATTTAGAAAAGTCAAATTTAGAGAGATAAAACATATAGTGAAGTGACTGCAAGGTCAAAAAATGCTAAATTATATACACTGTAGTGAAATAGGAAAACAGGACAACAGCTTAGTGGCCTGCAGTGAGACATCAGAGACCACCCGGATCAGATCAGCCCAGCCACAATGACCCCTTCGTTTCGGTGGGTAGGTCTTGTAACATCTTTGGCACAGCTGTAGAGAAGAGTTTCTAAAATCTCAGTGAGACACCTTAAACTTCTTTTCACTGCACCTGACCACTGTTCTATTGAGAGGTATCTGCATAACAGGTACATGGAGACATATCTGTATAACTTTGTGAACAGTCCAATGAGAATTGGTGCCTTTGATAGAAGTAAACAAGAAAGTGAGGTGGATAAAGAAGGAAATAGAAATTAATATATACTGTTATTCCCACATGAACTACTGCACAGGGGTCTGCTTTCCTATCTTAGGAAGGATATGGCTAAATTAAAGGGCAATACAGAAAAAAGTCATAATGTGATTGTTTGAAAATCTCTCTAATTATGATGCTGAAAGGATGGGGAGTGTCTATTTTAGGCAGACCTGTACAAGAGTCAAGGAGAGAAAATTAAAAAACTAACAGTTTAGAGATGACAGATAAAGAAATTCTGCTATCACTACCTTGTAAGAAAAAAAAAAAAGAACAAAGAGATATTTTTCTGAAGTATGCCAGATTTAAAATATTCAAAGGGGATACTTTTTCAGACTTGGTGGAATTAAGTTATGGGACTTACAGAAGTATTCCTGTAAGTTTTGCAAGAATAAGGAACCTTACCTCTGACTTTTCTAATGTGTATGCTATTTTTCTGCCTTCAGAGTGCCCTTTAGGTAGATTTGCATTATGTGAAAGAGCACACACTTGCAACAGAGAATGAAGGGAGGGAATAGTCTGGGTCAGACTGCACATGGTGGTCAATAAGAAGATTTCTGAGATTTCAGTAACTAGGAGAGACACAGTGAGGGTTTGCCTCCAAAGCTCTGGTGGCAGTCCTGGTAGCAGCACTGACCATCTCCTGAGTGCTAAAATGGGAAGCCGAAGAGCAAGCAAGCCCCTCAGAATATGGGAGTGGGCATGGGGGAATTTGAAACCAAGGCCACTGGAAATACTGAAAAGCCCTTGTGTTGGGGGGCTGTTATGATCTGCCCCTGAACGTAAGGGTAACTCGGGTTCTTGTTAATAGATCCCTTAGGACAGATTAGAGTGAAACGACACTGAATGATCAGAGTTTATAAATATGTGTATATATATGTGTGTGTGTGTGTGTAAGGTTTATTTTAGAACAATTTGGTTGCAATGAAAAGGACACATGTAGCTATAGGAATGCAACAATATAAAAGCATAAAGATATCACTGAAAAAAATGTATAAGGAAAAGAAAGAAAAAGAAAGAAAGGATGAGAGTAGAAAAATATCACCATCTGTGGATCCAGTGACGAGTCTTGATTATTACAATTTCGACGTCCTTTGGTCCAAGTAATGGTTGCAGTCTTGATCTGTTGGGATTATTGGTTAATATACATTTATGTGTATGTGGGAACGCCCAGGTACCTCCCCTGGAGGGGGGAGTTGTACACTGTCTGTTGCAACACTGTAGGTCATGTGTAGTCCTCTGTGTCTCAGTTTGAAGAGACTGGAATGTTTGCTAAAGAGGCTGAGTTATGAGACAAACCAAACTCCTCTCTCTCAGCAATTGTAAATTCAAAATTAAAGGGTCTTTAATCGAGGAAGTGTGGAAAAAAACCCAGAAGAAATAACAACCCTTTATTAAAAGATGTATGTATGTTGGCAAGAACAGTGACAGAACACAAAAAAATAACTAGACAATAGTCCTGTACCCCAAAGTCCCCTTCAGACAAAAGCAAGGGTCTGAACACTTCTCCGTCCTTAGCGCAGTTCTGATCACGGTCGGCAGGGGGCGCTGTTGGGTCACTGGAGGTGCAGGGCCTGCAGTGCTCCGTGTTGGCCTGCAGGGGGCGCTGTTGGGCTCTGGCGGTCACCACACGGGGAGGGGGTTTGGGGGGGGTCTCGGGTCACGGGAGAAGCCGAAAAGAAAATGGGGACCCTTCCCCCAATGGGAGAAGGGCAGAAGGAAAAGCAGTCCACTCCCACGGGACTCACTGTTGTTCTCAGATGACGGTGTTTCAAGGCTCCTCCCTTGTCTCCCAGCGAGCACACAAGTCTCTGATAAAAAACCCAGTAGGTCCCGGCTGGAGTCACGAGGCAGGATGCGAGCCGATGGAGGCCGGTGGTCAGGCCTCAGCAGGACGAAAAGCCAGAAAGACCAGCTTCCAGGCCTTTTCTCCAAAAATGCTCAGACACAGATCCTGTCTCCATCCCAGAGAGAGAACTCTGCTGTCTCCTCTCTCCCCTCCGAGAAGAGCCAGCCACCCCCTCCCAAAACTTCCCCCACTCTCCCCCCAGCCTCTGATGAGCCATCTGTTAGGAATGCGGTCTGGCCAGCTAGATTCTTTTGTAAGGCTAATTGACCCCCTTCCCCCCACTCACTCCGTTTTCTTACAGTGGAGCAGGGGAAGAAAAATTCCCCTATTGGATTTATAACCTATAACACTCTGGTTGGTGGAAAACCCCAGAAATGGGTATGGGTGCACTTTGGGGGTCTTTGGTCATTTATTACACCTTCTAAGACATGACAGCTGCCTCTCATGTCAGTGTAGTTCACAGGATCACAGAATCACAGAATATGCTGAGTAAGGGACCCACAAGGATCACTGTATCCAACTCTTAGTCCTGTATAGGACTATCCCCAAGTCACACAATGCACCTGAGAGTCCAAACGTTTCTTGAACTCTATCAGGTTTGGTGCTGTGACCACTTCCCTGGGGAGTCAGTTCCAGTGCCCAACCACCCTCTGGGTGAAGAACCTTTTCCTAATATCTGACCTAAACCTACCCTCCTCCCCTAACACAACTTCAGGCCATTCCCTCCTGTCACTGGTCATGAGACTGAAGAGATTGTTACCTGCCCCTCTTCTCCTCATGAGGAAGTTGGAGGTTGTGATGAGGTCTCCCCTCAGTCTTGTCTTCTCCAGGCTGAACAGACCAAGTGACCTCAGCTGCTCCTCATATGGCTTCCGCTCCTGGCTGCCAGGGCACGGCTGACTCATATTCAACTTGCCATCGACCAGGACCCCAGGTTCCTTTCTGTGGCACTGCTTTGCACATCTCATTCCCGAGTTACTACACACATCCAGGGTTGCTCCATCCCAGATGCAGAATCAAGAACTTCCCCTTGTTGAACTTCCTATGGTTGGTGACTGTCCAGTCCTTTAATTTGTTGAGGTCTCTCTGAAGGGCCTCCCTGTCTTCTTCCCTGGAGGGGAATTTTCACACCTGAGACAGTGGTGTAAGGGAAGACATTGGGCATGATAAAAAGCATTATCCCACCTTGAAGGATCTGCTGCTTATTGGCCTCTTCCCTTATCTGGATAAAAAGCCAGCTTGTAGCCTCTGGTGGTGGATGCGTACCCCCTCTGCACCTGGGCTGTTTCCTTGGACAGCAAAGCACCCGACGCTTTTCCAAAGGGCAATCCTTTAGTCATTAACCATTGCCATTTCAGTCTCTCATGCACAGATTGGGAAGTGACTTTAGGGGCTGAAAGTCCTGAGGAAGGGAGCACTGGGAGATATTGCAGGTAGCTCCTGCCTCCGCATTTCTGCTTGTTATTTCTGTTTGTCAGTGGAGAACATGAACAACCTCTTCTCTCCCAGAACTGCTATAATGTCCTTCCTATCTCCAGGACCCCGATTTTCCTTTGGATTAAAAAAAGCAGTTTAACAGATGCAGATATGAAAAATAGTCAAGATAACAAGAGTAAATGCTAAAATGAAGTGCTAGAAGGAATAGAGAACCTTGTGACATAGATTTGGAGATACTTTTTAGCAAATTGGACTTGGAAAATCTATCCTTTTCTACTGAGGAGTTGGACTCCTGTAGTGTCACTCAGTGCAGAAAAGGCCACAGTAAATATGACAGGTCTGTGCCATATTCTTAATGGTATTGTAGCACTAATTGAAAACCCAAAGTGAGTTTAAAAATCCTCTGAAGACTGTCTGTGACATATATTGTTCAAACTGGGAGAAAACTCAGTTTACTTGTATTTCATTCCAGCTGCAGTGTCTTTTCACCAGGAGGTGCAACTGAGTCCCCCTTGACTGTGTCTCTCAGTAAGATTAGCAAAACTTTCCTGAGTGACACTGCAGAACTGGAGAGCGGAGGAGCTGCTTATGGGCCTGATTTTTGGAGGTACTGAGCAGATGTGTATCACACTGACTTTAGCTGGAAGTGTGGGTATTTAAGGTGTTTGATAGTAATAGAAAGGCCCTGACTGCAGTGGCATTTTCCTTTCAACTGAAGACTCATTCTTCAAAGTTATTACTTTTAGGTTGGAATATTTCCCAAAAGTTTAATCGATCTTTATGGAATTACATTTTTATTAGTCATGAAATGCATTTTTTTACATTGATTATTTTTCTCCAAAAAGCAATTAAGTGATGCATGAAAGGCAGAGAAGTAACAAAATTAAATTCAAAAGGTTTAAGGAATAATAATTTGAATTATAAAGATCAATCACATTGTAAATTAAATTCAGCTGACTCAGAAATCTCTTACTACAGCTTTTACAAACTTTCACTACTTGTCTTCCTAATCCTCACATAGGAATAGGAATACTCTGCATCTTAATACACATATAAAGTTCAGTCTAACTTAGAAGTAGTTAATTTCTGTTATAGTCTACTGAGAATTCAGTATTTGCTAAAGACTGCTTAAACTGAAATAAAAAAGAGCATGATAAACATATCAATAATCTGTAAGTGGGATTGCTAGGAAAGATTTGAGGTAAGTGTTGGAAAATGAAGACCTCCCATGATGAAAAAAACTTGGTGTATACAACAGGCCTGAATTAAAAGGCTGCATACATATTTTTTCTCTGCTAGCAGTGAATGTAATGATCAGTAGTTTTCAAATTACTGTCCATGGACACCAAGGAATTTGCTAAACCTATCCTGGTTGTCAGCAGAAAAAAATGTTAATTAACAAGATAGCCAAGGATGGGACCAGTGGCAGTCCAGGAAGCAGCTCATGAGAAAGGCAATTATGTAAAAGTGCACCGTAAGATGGAGTTTCTCAAATCAGCTAAGCCTCTGGGAAATTAAATGGTGATGGCAATACCTGAACTGCCCCTGTTTTGGCCATTCTTTTCACATTTATAGCAGCTGAGAGCCCTTGTTCTAGACCTCAGAATCCCTGATGTGCTGGGTGCTGTACAAGCCTGGAAGAGAGATGTCATCAATCCTAGGGAGCTTGTGAGAGCTAGGGTGATAAAACAGCCTAGTGCAGCAGGGATATTAGTTCAGGTTCAGACCTAGGTATAGTTGTGATACAGATTTCTGGCCTAAAGCATCAGAGGAGCAGATTTAGGATTGCTCAAACCTGACATGTCCCAAGTATAAGAAAACAGATAGATAGAAGACAGCCAAGAGAAGACAAGGAGCCTATGAGACAATTCTGGTCACCTCGATAAACAGTTATCTCAGTACACACATGGCTTAAGTACTTTCAGATGTAATTATTTGTGTTTTGAGTACAGGTTTTACATAGATTAAGCCCAATTGCTAAATAGCAATAGCAAAACATAAAATTACAGGCTTTTTCCTAATGGTCTACCTACATAAAGTTTTGGCAATGTTTATTTCTCTAATAAACACATAATGTGCTTAGATTTACTGACTAGTGGATAAAAAAGTGCAATTTCTTATAATATAAAAGAAGTAAATGTGCTTTTTGGCTGATTCATAGTTTGGTTGTTTTCATTTTTCCTTTAGTGAATTATAAAACAAATGCAATAAGAATGAATGTGGGTACAAGAATAAGCATTACTGAAGAGTAGATGGCAACTTAGCAGAGATGAGCCTCACAGTTCGTACATCTTTGCTATCGGTAGCAATGCATGGACAACATCTAGGACCCTGTAGGGGTAGAAATATTCTTACTGTTTAGGTAAACAATTTTTAAAATACCTGTTGGCAGTCTTCTTTCTCAGCTAAAGATTAGTTGCTCTGTACTTAGTTTAACAGCAACCTTCACATTAACAGCATCTTCTATGCTAGCTGCAGGGCTCTTACTGCCATAGATATGCAGTGCAGAATTCTGTAAAAATATATAACAGACTGAAATTTAGTAAAGCTCTGCGTGGTATGATATCCGAAAAAGATGATATTTATTTAACATCCTTCCAAGCAACTAACAGTTGTTTTGGTTTTTTTTCCTGCATGAAGACTGCTTCTTTTGCCATTGGAATTGTACATGAATATAAAGCCTGAAACTACCCTTTCAGTCAACGGAAATTTCTTTACTGACTTAAGAGCGTACAGAAGTATATACTGCTGTTCTTTAGCAGTATAGCAGAATAGCCTTGTAATTTTATCTGAGATAGATAATTGCAGACAGTTTTACTGTCAGTTTTGCTACATCTGTTTCTGAAAAATCTGAATTTGTATTTACTGAAATTTTCTGTAGTTCTCAGTTCATGAGTTAAAAAACGCAGCACTTTTCTTAGCTTTTTTGAGGTACAGACAAAGGCTGGATTCCTTTCTTTAACTGTACTTGCTTATTTATTCAGACATTTCTGTCTCCTGTTATCTGTTGATATATTGACTAAACTGCTGAACTGTTCACCAGTTGAAGTGAGTGGCATGTCTTTAACTTCTGTGCTTCTGGTAACAGAAACGAAACAACAACTAGAAAACTGAAGTGGGACAGAATTTTATGCAGGATAATTTAATAGGCTCTAAATTTATATCTTAATTATCTAATTCCAGTGCCCTAATCACTTAGGAGACAAGCTGTCTTTGTTAGAAGCTTGCCTCTGCACTTTTAGCTGATTAGTACACTGCTGCCTGATCTTGCTGCAAAAGGGATGGGTTGTTTTTAGTTCTCCAAAGATGTTATTCACTTGAGTCTGAACAAAGCTGATTCCCAGACACAATGCCAGAGAACAATGCTGACTCCAAGACAGATGATATTCTGGTTATTTTGAAGTTAAAAATAGGTTTTTTTTTTTTTTTTTTTTTTTTTTTTTAAAGTAAGTTTCTCAAGCTTATTCAGCAAAACCAGTGCAAAGTAGGGCACAGTTCTTCACTTCATAGGTCACCTTAAAGCAATGTATTTTAAAAATTAAGATTAAATAAAACTTCTGGAAAAGTGAAGGGTGGAACATCTCATAAATGTTTTAATAATAATCCTTTTCTTACATGCAAGAACATTTCAGCATGGAGCAGACACATGACCACACTGTAAGTCCCCCAGATTAGCATAGAGATTTACTGTTATTATATTAACCTACTTGCTAGGAAGTCCAAGAATTCAAAACATGCCTAAAAAGCATTTCCTTATTCTCTGTTGTAAAGAGCTTCAGGGTGGCTACACACGTTTGGCCATATTTGTTTTAATGATCCAAAGTTATCTTGAAAGTAGTTGTTTGTTCTTCCTTCCGATCTAAAAAATAAAGTTGCTGAATCAGTGGCAATTAGAGAAACAATGTGAGAACAAAGCGAGAAAAAGATCAAACCCTGAAAAAATATATCATTAAGAAAGACTGAGAAGCTTAGTAAATGGTATCTGAACTAAATTAATGAAAATATTCAAAATTGATAATCATGTGGCACTGAGAAGATCTCAGGCTTAATAATGGCTAAGAAGTACACATGTAAGAGACCAATTAATGATTAAATTTGTTTTTACTGGCATTTCATCAAAGACACGAGATGGCCAGTGAGTTCTACTGAGAGAACTGTAGTTTTCAAACCGGTTTTGAGTTTGTTTGCTCCCATTATGCTACTGGAGAAGGTTTGATGTGTTTCAGAAAAAACAAGCCCTTGCTCTGCAACGCCTGCTTTCTTCCAAATCCCTTTAAAAATGAATTGGTTCAAACAGTTTTTCTGAGACTTGAAGACCCAAGGGTCTTATGGTTTTGGGCACTCCATATTCTCTCTGAAAGATAGGCACTGCATTCGTCTTTTCTCTGCCTTTTACTCCAACCTTCCAAGACCACAGAGAAAACTCTTATTGCCTACGAGCTCAAATGGCCAAGTTGCAAATGGCCAAGCAAATGGCCAAGTTAAAATGGCCAAGTTAAAACCCAAGTTAATTAACTTGGGTTTACTCTTATATGTAAGAAAAAGAGGTCTTAAAAGTAAAACAAAGCTTACTTACTAGATATGTATGAAAACATCTGAAGTAACTGAAAATTCTGCGGAAGTTCTTCACATAGAAGAAAACACTTCATTTGGAAAACATTCTAAAACTTCAACAAAAATTCTTACTGCAAATATTAATTCCAAATCAATATTTTCATATGAATATATAGATTCAAACATACATTTCCATTTTCTATCAGTTTTTAAAATAAGCCCCCTAAAGTTACAAGCAAAAGTAACAACTGAATGAAATAATAGTTTGAATTAATTTAAGTTGTTCTAAGTTGGGAATTTCAAAATGCTTTAGCCAAACATTGTTAATTATGTTGTCACAGAATCATACAATGGCCTGGGTTGGAAGGGACCTTAAAGATCATCTAGTTACAATGCCCCTGCTGTGGTCAGAGACACTTTTCACTAGACCTGTTTTTTTTTCTTTTTTTGCAAAACAAACTAACAGTAACTGTTCCATGGTATAGACTTGGATAGTCTAACTGCAAATGCCTACTGGTGATGACAATGTGTCAGTGTGTGGATTTACAACTGATGTTAATATAAAAGCATATCTGGGTGCCCTAAAACACAAATTAAACACCATATACAAAGTGGGTATCATAAGGTTTGCTAATGAAAAAGAAAAAGCTGACAGCATAGACCTAGGAAGGAATTCCACAGGTTTGGATAAGCACGTGTTCAAAAGTGACACAATTGACACTAGAAAGCCAGTACTTACAGGCACAGGGTGATATATCTGAGAGACAAACAATCATCATTTTACAGGCGTGGTGATGATCTCTGGAGTAGTTTTCTCCACTTCTGAAAGAGAACTTGGAGGAGAGAAAAAGGAAATAAAATTATGTTAATGGCCAAATCTGTATTCCAAACTACAAATCCTGTGTGTAGCAGTAATTCAACTTATACAAGAAGTGTATAGGAGAACCACAAAAGGTCCTCGAGGAGGAAAGAAAGCTGATCAATGGTATGACATCGCTTTCAAATGAGAAAATTACTGACTAGAGCTGCCCCAACTAGGGTTGATGATGACAGAACAGGTAGAGCAGAGTTGATAAATAAGCTAGGAGGATTCATGTTTTTTTCTTCTTGTAAAAGACTTATAAGTTATTAAAAAGATTGATCAGATTTCAGTTTTAGAACAGACAGAAGATGGTAACTTCTCACACAGTTCATAGGTCAGGCAGGGTGTGGTTGGCTGCACTAAAAAGTAGATATCAGAAGCTTTCAAATCTCTAAAAAGCAAATAAACTAATGGGAAATGTCAGTTCAGGAAAATTATTTCATAAAAAATTAATTTCTGTCTTAGGAAATCCTTGATCTATAGGTTACTGGGAACTTGCAAAAAATACATTGGGTTCACCGTTGTCTATTTACACCATTTCCATATCCTCTCATGGGTAAGGTTGTTGATATTGGGGGTCAGGCATGGTTGCATTGTTTTTCTGTAGGTGATGTTAGTGTTGAGCTATTGCCATTTGCAAGGCCAAAGTTAAAAAATGTTATTAAGTTTGAAACAGAACCCATGAGCTAGAATTGATCTTGCACTGCTACTGTTTTATTCTTTCACTGTAGACAAATACTTCTGTTTTAGTTGTGGAAAAATTGTATCTTGTGCTTGATCTGGGCTGAAATATATTGGTGACTTCTGTGATAGTTTCAGATGGGCTGTGCAAAGATGAAAGCTGCAAAATACCAGTTGTTGAACTCAGCCTAGCTATTCTGGTGGCCATTATTAGAGATTTCTCCTAAGAAATGCTTTGCAACTCCTAAAGCTGTCTTGGAAACCAAAAACACAGCTACCCTTTCTCTTTCTCTTTGCTACGACACAGTGCTGGGACTCTTCTTCTCAGTTCTGTTCCTATATATGAGGTAACCAATAGCACACCCTGAGTAATTTCATAACCATTTCCGCCTATGTCTACAATAATGATTTTTTTTCAGTGCTCTTTTGTCATTTTGATCTTTGCTTCAATATTTAGAGACTAACAAAGTATCTGTTTGGTTTTACAAATGATATTTTAAAATCATTGCTCTCTTAAGCAGTGACTGTCTGTAAAGAGGTGTGGATGCCTCTTAAAGGACAGTACAGGGATACAAGGATACCACATACTCCAGCCCCCAACACTGTACTCAGCCCATAATCAGAAAACATGTCTTTCTAGCAAATTAATTAGTGCTAAATTTCAATAAAAATATGATAAGGGAGATCAGTCTAGGGAGTGCTTGACTACGTCCATGTCCATTTAATATATTTCTCTCTTTCTCTCCTTCCCTGTCATTAATTAAATACATAAGAAGAAATTAAGTCTTCTTCAGCTCTGTATTAATTTGGTTTTTGAACAACATCTGCTGGGGAGAAACACTCTCTTAATATTAATTCTCTGCACTGGATGAACGTTACTGAAAAGATATAACCCTAATCATCTTAACTGGTGTATTGTATACTACTTACCCTCGGTTAAAAATCTGGAATGGATCAGAGGGCTTCTTTCAGTACAGTGTGTTTTTCAATACTATGGCAATTATTTCTTCATATGATAAGACAATTTCATTGTTAATGTTCATCAACGATTCCACCTAATCCATTCTTTACCTGGGAGCAGCAAATTGGGCCAACAAAAATGCAAGAGTACAAAGCTCAGAGATTTGGTATACATTTGGTGAACTATTTGTCATTTGATGAACTGTTACTACACAATATCAGTATTAAATCTATTCTTGTGCACTTAATACACTTCTTGTAAGTCACCAAACTGTCTTCAGTTACCAGTTTTGATAGTTTCCTTGGGCTACAGGGTGGAATCTGACCTATAGGGAATTCATAATTTCATCCTGGATGTTCTACAATCTGTTGAAGGCAATTGAAGGTCTGTGACCCTTAATGCAGTATTTCAAATTACTTACAAACTGGGACTTGAATGTAATCACTTCTTGTGTGTGCTTATTCACAGGAAAACCTGCAGAATTCCCATGCCTTTAAAATAATCAGTGAAAACTTTTACTTTAGAAAATGGGTTTTAGATCCAAGCTCTTGCTAAAAATGTGATAGAGGAACAAAGTGTACCAGGATAAGTCTTTTTTTAGGTGATTATATTTGGAATAGATTACCAAAAAACACAGGAAGGGAAGTTCACTGCATAAGACTTTCAAATTAAGTATCTCAGTGGGGCTTGAGATGTAAAAGTTCTGAGAGACAAGTTTTCAGATTTGTAAGAATGAGAACTTTTGCAGCTAGTTTGTGTTTATTAGATACATCAAGGTTAATATACCCTATGTTCAGTTCTTGATAATGCTGCAGAGTAAAAGTGGAGCAACAGTATGATTTTTATATTCAACCCAAAAAGATGTCTAAGGAGTTATTTTGCTAACAACTCCTGCATTTCTAGAGATATTAAACTGATTTAGATACTGGAATGGGAAGGAATGAAATCCTAAATTCTTTTAAGTTCACGCAAATCTAGTTCTAGTATTATTTGCTGGAGCAATAGGAAAACATCTATTTCTACAGCAAATGTCATTGTACCATGTAATTTCTAGTTAAAGTCACGCCGGGTGAAAATGACAAGCTCACATGTGCTTTTTACAAGTTTTCTGGTATCATACTCTCTGGGTAGGATCAATTTAGGGTAAAAGTTCTTGGTAAGAATTAGACAGTTTATAAGATAGATTTCCCATCTTGGTAAGCACATTAAGTGCTTTTCCCTTAGGGGAAAAAGCATTGCTTATCTCTCATGAAAAGTCTTGAGGGTGTTTAGATTGGCTTTGGTGTTCATTGATGGAAAACTTGAACTTTTTATTGGCCTGGGAAAATGCTTTCTAGACAGTCTGGCAGTCTCTACATGTACAACTAGATGTGACAAGTACAAAGGCAAAGACACAGCTCACTCTGAAAGTTGAAAAAGTCTTAAGTTGAATGGATATGATTTTTGTAACTTGTAAAAATAATAGACGGTATTAGGAAGAGGACTATTTGTGCAGAAAAAAAGAGGTATGTGGGTATCTTTAGGATTCACATTTTGGCATATTTTGTAGTATAAAGTTTAGTTACACTAAAAGTAAAAACTGCAAATCAACAAAATTCAGTAAGCTGAAGATGATTGCAAAAAATTCTGATCCTCTTTAGTTGAATGTGATTAGGATAAAGAACTGCTATGAGTTGAAATCCACAGACTGACATTTCTGTTAAGTAGCTCAAAAGTAAAGCAAAGTAAATCTAACAACAGTGCAGTATCTGTTGTCTAGTAAATTGATCAAAAACTTAAAAAGAAATATTTCTAACATACGTATTTTAGAAATGTTGACTATTCAAGTAAGAAAAGTCTTTATGACATCTTGCAGTTGTTAGAAGGTTTTTCTATTGTTTCTATTCATTGACTAAGGATAAT